GAGGAACTGCTCCTGCTCCCTTCCCTGGAGAGCACCCTGCCTCGGCCTCCCGGGGAGGCCCCATGACCCACTCCTGTCCCGAAGTGGCCCCCACCCTGACCCCTCCACCCCCCTGCTCAGGAAAGGGCCTCACCCCACCCGGCCTGGTTAGACATAGTCCTGGGGTGGCAGTGCCAGCTCATCCTGACCCCTGCCCTGGCCAGAGTTTGGGGACATCTGTGCCCCCACCCTACCCCAAGAGACAGGACAGACTCTGCCAGAGCCCAGAGGATGCCGGGAAGATTTCTGGATCCAAATCCCTAGGCCCCATGCGGTAATGGCACGAGTTTCTGCAAGGCACAGCCGGGTTCCGGGTAGATCTCAGCTCGGCACCCTTCCTGGAGGCCCAGGGACGGGCCATGGACAGCAAGGTCAGACCGGGCTGGAGAGCAGGCAGGAGCTCCCGCGGGAGGGAGGGCTGAGGTGGACTGGAAAGGTTGGTGGAGGAGGAGGAGCAACCAGGAGAGGCCTCAGGGAGGTGGAAGGAGCACAGGCGGTGTGGCCACCTGGCAGGGGGTCAGCAGGAGGTTGAGGAGGGCAGCTAGGAGAAGGAGAGGTAGACGCAGAGAGAAAAGGCTGAGGAAGCAGACTTATACCAGTGTCCAGGAAAACGGAGAGGGGAGGGAAGCAAGGGGCAGAAAAAGAAAGGAAAAACAGGAGTAAATGGAGAAGCCGGGGATGTAAGAGAACAAGATTAATGGAGAACAGACATTATGATGAAAGATACAAGAAAAATAAGCAGGGCGTGGTGGCGCAGGTCTGTGATCCCAGTACTCCAGAGGCTGAGGCAGGAGGATCGCTATGAGTTTGAGGCCAGCCTGGGATCCATAGGGAGACCCTGTCTCAAAACAAACAAAGGTGTAAGAAAAATAAAACGTGTTTATTGAAAGGACAAAAATTCAGCCCATAAAAGGAGAATAACATGAGAAAAATGACATTGGCTTAAGTATATTAATTTCTGCAGAAGCAGCCTCCACTGTGGCCTCCCTAACCCACCAGGGCCGGGTCAGGTGGGACGCCACCTTGTGGGTGGGTGGGGAGGGAGGACCCCCGCTCCCTGCTGGAGTGGGTATAAGGCTGCCCCTTCCCAGCTATCTGCTCTCATTGGCGCAGCCCAGCGGGCCCATTACCCACAGCGCTCAACACACACGCTGTGCAGGGGACCATCAAGGACAGGGACCATCAAGGACAGGTCCCAGGCAGCAGCCAGCCCCCCCACACACCTGGAAAGGCAGAGACCCATCTCTACACCAAACTCTGTTAAAGAACAAGACCGTTACCGCCCTCGAGCTGCTGTTGAGACTCTCTGCTCTGTGGTTGGCAGCAGCGGGTTCTGAGCGTTACTTAGGATTTGCTCTACTTGTTTGTAGACAGAATCAGACACCTTGGGGAAGAACCCAGCCCTTGTCTGTTTTGTAGCCCATGTAACCACATCTGCTTTCCTTGGCACCCCACCACTTTTTTGTAGACAAAGTCTCACTGTGTAGCTCCAGCTGGCCTCAAACTCACTATGTGGCTTAGGTGGGCCTTGAATTTGGGAGGATGCTCCTGCCTCAGCCTCCTGAGTGCTGTGAATGAAGGCATGCACCACCGTGCCCAATGTGAGAGCTTAGAGCAGGAATTTCAGGCTGTGAAGGCAAATGACCCTCCTCCCATAAAGCACGTAATGTCTCAACAATGACTTTTTTTCTTTTTTTGGTAGTGGGGATCGAACTCGGGACCTTGTGCTTTTGAGGCAGGTGGCGGAACCACTGAGCTAAATCCCAGCCCTTGAAATGACTTTTTACTCCTCAGCCAACTAACTTGTTAATGGGATGAAGACATGGGACCGTATGTGTTCTCATAGCACAAGACCACAAACAGCCATGGCTCCATCTGCTACTTCCTAAGAGAAAGGAAAACAGAAAAAGGTAGCAGAAAAATCTGTCTACTGCTGTAATTTATCCGTTAGATTTCTTTTCACCCAGATTTGTTACATGAAAAAGTCCAATGGGTAGTGGCATATTGTTTGATATTTAAAAAAATAAATACATTCTAGTTCTGCACACTGGGGTAGAGAATTCAGAACAATTTGCTTTTAGGATCTGGAAGGAATGAAACACTGAAAGGACTTAGTTCAGAACTTGCCAAGTCACTGGCAGAGTTACCTTTACAAGAATGTGATGCTCCAACAAAACACAGGGCACAGGTGTGACTTTCCCCAGTACGGTTACCACAGCATAAAGCTTGTCACCCAATCAGCGGTCATCAGCACAGCTCCCGCCATGCGCTTCTGTTCCTTCTCCCTCCTGATGTTTACACGTGTAAATAAGGTGATTCTTTGCCCTTGCTCAAATTATTTTGAGTACAAAGAGTGTTTCTTTGCTCAGCAACTGTACCTCTTGGGGCCAATATTGTAATTAACGAGATTTGAAACACACATTCGGAGCCAGACCTGGGTTCCCAGGCACAGAATTGAAGACGTGTTGTTTTGCCAGTGTTTTTCTTCTTGAAAGAAGAAAGAGGAAGAGCCTCAAAATGTAAAGCTTCCTACAGGAGAGATGCCTGGCGTTTGTGAGGGGTCTTCTTTTGACCCTGTAGGTGGTGAATGTGGGGACTGGGTCTCGGCTGCGGGGACCCAGAGTGGCTGAGCCCCCAGAATGAGACTCACCCTTGAGGTCCATCTTTCTAACTGCATTCTCTCCTGTAGAGCATCACAGTCCTCGGGTGCTGGTGCCCCATCCCTGCACACACCCCGTTTTCTCTAGCCACACAGACACAATTCTTTTTTTCCAGAATCGGGAACTTACAGAAGCCTTTGTCATTTTAAAGCACACAGCTCATGGTCCTACTCGCACCAAACTCCAGACTGATTACTCCTTCCACTCAAATTTGTCTCTGAAACACTGAGGTTAACGTCCACTTCTTCATGGAGCTTGGAACACCAGGGACCCCGTCACGGATTTAATCATTTGCATTACGTAGGAAATAGCATGTTACCTTTAGAAAGCCAACCATTTAGAATGCAAAATATTTATTTAGAAAAATGCAAATAAACTATTTCAACATTAAAATTAATATCTTTGGGGGGGTAAATTTTCCAAAGATGAAAAAAAGTCTTATTAATTCATAAAACTAATCAGTTTTATTTTGAGATAGAGTTTCACTTGAACTCACTGTGCAGTCCAGGTTGGCCTCGAGCTCATGGCGATCCTACTGCCTCAGCCTCCCACAGGCTGGCACCCAGTGCCAGGGCCAGGGCCATCACAGTGCAAGGCACCGCCTCTGTAACTAGAATCCTGTACGACGCAGTAGCTTACACCAGGACAGGGAGCAGGAGGAGACCGACAGGAACCAAGTAGCCACTGTCACTGGTGTAACCTCAGTTAATCGGAGGCGATGGCTGTTCCCTGGATATTTCAAGTTCTGAACTCTTGTATGCATAAACACGGATGCTGTGAAGAAACAGGGCAGAGCCCTCCTGCCTCTGCTGCTTTAGCACCATCAAGAACTGCAGTTTGCTGGAAAAAAAGGAAACAATCCTGACACACAGAACTGCACACAAGCTGAAGATAAAGTCCGGGCTACCACATGTAGCGGTTTTACACACTTTCGCACATTTTGCAAAACAAATTCCAAGTGTTGTGGTGCTCGATAGCTCGAGTTTTGTCACTGACTGGTAAGAGTTAGGTAATAAGTGTGCCAAAGAGCATTTTTTTCCCTGTCTTTTTCTCAGACAGCCTCTCACTGTGTAGCTCAAGTTGACCAACTTGCAGTGATCCTCCTGCCTCAGCCTCCTAAATGCTGGGATCATAGGTGCATGCCAGTACGCCCAGCTCTGAAGAGCATTCTTGCTGGAGCAGTTCTGCTATGCATGTTAGTGCATTCCTAGAGGCTCACAAATTAGTGTTTCCCCTAGGTGGGTTCTGCCTGTACCATGTCTTTGTGGTGACAAAAGCCCCCATCTCAAGAGGGGGACTAGATGACCTTCCAGGAAGGTGACTGCCTGGTGTTGGAAATGGAAACAGGGCAGGTACCCACTATGCTTGCTCTTTGTAATCTTCCAGCACAACAGGGGCAGGAAAGGAAGGCGGCGAATTATACCATGACCACATTCTGCTGCCTTGGTACAGGGTCAGCACTTGGGGCTGAAACACTGGCAGGGACGCGCCTCGCCAGTCACAGGGTAGCAGGGGGGACCATGGTCACCGGCACGTGCCAAACATGCAGAGAGAGGGAGCTGAGATGCCTGCACCAGGCGCTCAGAAAGTCTTCGACACCCATGAGGCTCTGTGCTGCATCTCCCCTCGAGGCACCAGGAGCACAGGCTGAGGGTTCATACCCACCTGTGGCCCCAGGCTGCGTCCTGGGTGACATCGCTTCCTCCTCAGATGCACAAAGGCGTTATCTCCTGTCCTTTGTCTTCTGGGTTCCTGAGCCCTTTTCCCTTGGACCTACGTTCTTGCGGGAGAAGGGGTCCAGGCCACAAGAAGCATTGGCAGCAGGGAGGCAAGAACATGTCGGCTGCCCCAGCTTCTGATACCCAGGCTGTCGGTGGCTGGGGAGTCAGGAGCCCGGGGAAGAAAGCTAAGAAGGGCAAAATTTCCATCTGTCCACCCTGTGCTCACCTCCTCCCTCACTGTGGTGGCGCCGACTCTTGTGGACGTTTTGGTTCCTTCAGGAGAAGCTCAGGCACTGTCTAGAGGCCTGGGTGCTGTGCAGGTTTCCTCTCGGCGTTCAGGATTCTGGTCACTGTTCTGGCCTCTGGAACATTCTTCTCTGGTGCCCTGTTTGATTCTGAAGTGCCCATTTTAGAAGTTTCTGGAAGACTCCGTCCACTGTCTGGATTCGGACAGGAGGCAGACAGGTGATGTCTGAGGTGATGAGGAGGCAGTGGGAGAGGCGGACATGGGGTCAAGGAAGAATCTCCCAGATGCGAAGCCATGTCCTTACCCCATCCCTGTCCTAGTCTCCCTGCTCTGGCTTTGGCTCACGTGTCTTTTGGAAAGATGCCACTTCTGTTTATAGTGTGGCTTTTCTCTTTATTTTAAAGAAGCCGTGTTCCCATGTGGCCCAGGAAACATACCATGCAGGCACCGTGAGTCCGACAGATTTGCTACAGACCTAAGGCTCGTTGAAGGGCCAGAGGGGACAGGGCCAGGGCCAGGATGGGGCTGTGCTGCCTCCCCTTCCAGTCCCGCGCTGCCTTAGGTTGGCTGCACAACTGCCCGCCTTCCCTTTCTTTCCTGTCTCTGTTCTTTCCTCCTCTGCCTTCCCTTTTTCACCGTTCACCTTGATCCTTGTTAAAAGGACACACGAGAAAGCCGATAGGGAAGTTCAGTGGTGACCTGTTGTGTTGGGAAATATGCAAGACCCCTATTTTAGGAAGACAAAAACAGCCGCCTGCTGGCAGGGTCCTGTGGTTCAAGCCCCGGGGATTCTGCTGTCTCAGTCCACACCACAGGCACCCGAATCCACCAGAGCCCTGCAACCCACAGCTTCTGTGCTCCTGACCAGACTTTCAGCGAGGTGTACGTTTTCAGTTTTCTTCTGGTTCCCACACTAGCGAGTGACAGGACTGTCATTCCCCCCGGGTCTCCCAGCCTCATAGTGGCACGGGGCACATGGTGGCGCAGTCCCGGCAACACCACGGCTTCATGCACTGGGGAAGCAGCTTCCCAGCTTCCGCTGGGCACAGGCAGAGCCTGGCGGCTGTGACTTAGTCTGGTTACAAGGCTGTGGATTCCACACTTATAGTGTTTAAAAAAAAAAAAAAAGCGTTTTGAAAGTAGCCCAGACTGGTTCCCTTAACCTCAGTCAGCAGACTGCAACGCCCTTTGGGGTTTTTTGTTGTTTTCTTTTGTTTCTCTGGGTGGTTTTCCTCCCCTGTGGATTCTGCAGTCCTCCGGGCAAAGACCTTCCTCCTTCTCTTGTTTTTCTAGCCCCACTTCCTCCGCCTATTGTCGTGGCTGTCCCTCTCCTCCCCTCGTTTCCTGTTGCCTGTCAGTTCTTCGGGGACGTCCAGCGCTCTGCCTGGCTCCAGCCTCGCTGTGATCTCTGGGGACAACCCTCCCTGTGCCAACGCTCCGGATCGGCCTTAGGGTCCCCAGCTCGCCTTTGTTGGTTTCACCCCAGAAGGAGCCCCAGGGGTGTCTGGTTCCGGAAATGCCATCCTCGACTTCCCTTGCTCAGCATGGTAGAAATAAATTTGTAATATTCTGTTAGTGAAGGGTTAATGTGCCCTGTCTGCAGAACAAACATCAGAGCTTGGCGTCCTCATCTACGGGGCAGCAAGAGACCGTTACTGCGTGGCAGCCTTGGATCCCATTGACATCAAGACGGATTTATTAAATTAATAAATAGTGGAAGGTTTTCAGCCTCTCATTTCCAGCCCTTCCCACCCACGAGGTGATCTTCTGCAACCTTCCACCCGTCGCCTTGACTTTTTATTATCTGTGACCTTTCTTTCTTTTTGGGTGTGTGATTTGTCAGTTTATATTGAATTAATTTTTAAAAACTCGCTTTTTAGATAGAACATCGAAATTGGCTATTAAACACAAAGTTAACAAAAAGGAGAAGCCTCCAGTCGTTAATTGTTTAAGTATTTCACTGGCGTCCATTGGAAGAGGAATTATTTCAGAGGTGCTTTTCAAAGTCCCGGATGTGGCTGATCCTGCTGATCCCTGATCCCGCTGCCTCTTTTTCCAACTTACAACCTCAGGGCCTTTGCCCTGGTGGTTTCCTCTGCCTGGAATTCTCTTCCTTGGCTCTGCCTAGGCTGCCTTTTTTTCATTATTCACGTCTTCTGGGGTACCCCTTCCACAGAGTTGGGGGGGTCCTTCCTGAGGTGCTAACGGAGCAGCACCCAGGCATTCCTCTCCTGTGCTGTTTTATTTTCTTCACCTTCACACATCCATCCCTCTGTGGTCGGTTTAGGGGCTGAGTCACCCATTTCCTTGCAGGTCCCGAGCAGGCAGCCCTCCCTCAACTCAAGGCCTGGAGCATTCCTGGTGCACAGCGGCATTCAATAAACAGACACCGGTGGGTGAGGAGCAGAGAGCTGGCAGTGGCCCTCAGGAGCAGCCCCAGCCTAGCTCTCTCAGTTGTTTGCAACACAATCTTTGCAGCTCTCTCCCCTGCCCCACAGCCTGGGGCTCTTTCCATTCTTGGACACAGCGGGTTGGACAGCAGCATTCGCTGCCCGGCAGGGTTTAGGCTTCTGCTCTGACTCCAAAGTGTCCTTGCAGCATCTAACCTCGTGTTGCTGCACAAGTTGAGCAGAATTTTGGTGAGCAGGATGTTCCTCCTTTCTATCATGGTGCCCCTAACTTGCGTGGATTCCAAGCGGCTTAATGTTGCTGACAACAGGGAAACGAGTTGCACGCAGTCAGCAGACGTCTCTTCAGCAATAAGCTCGCGTCAGGTCCCCTGCTCTAAGACCGCAGCGCTAAAGGACCACGAATCTCCTCTCAGACTACCTACTGGGCCCAGTACCTACAGACTTAGGTTGGTCATGGTTGCTTTCCTCCTACAGCTTTAAAATAGCCTGTTCCTCCCAGAACCCTGCCCTGTGGTGGAAGACATTTCCCCCTCTGATGCACCACAGTCCCTGATCCACTTTACAATCGCTTTGGGGCCCTTACTAGTGTTTCCAGAATTAAATTTACTCCCATCTGCTGAAGTCAAAGGACATTTGGATTCCTGGCTCTGGGATCTTAGACAAGTCACTCAGCTATGCCCCAGTTTTCATCAACTGCAAACCGAGAGGAGATTACTAACTATGAACTAGGGTTGTCATAAGGTTAAATGAGAAAATTCAGGTACTGGGCTAGCACTCAGCTTGGCGCATTCTAAGCGTTTAGTAAATATTTACGAATATTTTTGTTATGGATTAGATCTAGATGTCCTTCAAAGCCTCATATACTCCTAGATGGGGCTTTGAGGGTTTAGGGTTAAGGGTATTGGCTCATGGGTGGATTAGCCCACCGATGAGTTTATAGCTAAATGTGAAGTTGGAAACCGAAGACTGGTTGGGGGGCTGTCACTGGGAGCCTGGCCTGGCAAGGTCTCTCTCCCTCCTTCTCCCTTGATCTCCATCTGCATCCTGCAGCCGTCCATGCCGTGAGCAGCTCTCCTCTGCCGTGCCACCCTGCCTTGCAGTCAGCTGGCTATGGACTGAAACTTCTACAAACTGTGAGTCAGAAATAAACCTCTCCTCCTCACAGCTGTGGGTGTCAGGTACTGTGTCTAAGCACTGAAAAACTACAGCAGTTTTCTTTCTCATAGAGTTGGGTCATAACCTACAGGATCTGGAACCACACACAAATGTACCTGGCCTCGAGTGGGCTTCCTTCCTCCTCTCTGACTCTAGTTCCTTCGGAAGCCATTCTTAGCTTTTATAATCTGTAGCATGTCAGTGATCTGCCCTTCAGAATTTAACTTTTCCTTCTTCTTTTTCTTCTCCTCCTTCTTTTCCTCCTCCTTCCTCTTTTTCTCCTCTGTCTTCTTCTCCTCCCCCCCTCCTTCTCCTCCTCTTCCTTCTCCTCCTTTTATTGGCCAGGTGAGTCTTGAACTCCTGTGCCCAAGGGATCCTCCTACTTCTGCCTCCTGAGTTCTGGGACTATAGACCATGGCCACTGCTCCCAGATAGAGCTTGTCTAGTCTTCCTTGTCTCATCACCTCACGAGATATGAGAGCAGGGATTATGCTGTTAGTCTCCAGCAGTGCTCTAGAGGCCCTACATCATAATATTACCCTATAACATGCTTCTGAATGCAGCGAATGCTGAATCTGATGCCAAATTCAACAGCCTCTTTATGGGTAGCAGTTGGTCACAACCATGACATTGTTTTCAATTTCACAGATATGAGGGTGAAAGTGGGAGTCTTGAAGTCATCCGAGCATGTCTGCAAGGAGGGAGTTTTCACACGGGCCTGATTCCAGAGAAGCAATTCTTCCTTACCTTTGACTGGTGATGCTTGTCATCATTTAATCAGCTGCAGCAGTGGAGGAAATCATTCATCCTCCTCCTTCCCATGAGCCACATGTATGTACTTCAAGACCACCATCAAGCAATCCACTTCCCCCAAGTGCACAATCAAACTATTTATTTCCATAGCTCATATCACAGGCGGCCTAGCAAGCAGGCAGCGTTGCTGTCTTGTGAATGTGATTAACTTGTAGCTTATGGTTTAGGTGACTGCTCTGGACAGGGAGAGAGGCACCCTCTGGGACCTCTGAGACCATCAGCTCTCACAGTGCCTCTCTAGAGTACTCGGTGATTGGCTGACTGGAAATGCAACAGCACCAGAGTCATCCACCCCACAGAAGAGCATGGAGCGCCTGCAATAGGTAGCATTGAACAACGTGCTGCTTCCCTAGCAGGGGTGGGCGAGGAAAAGTCTAGGAAGCAGTGGCTTCCACCCTTCAGACACAGGACTCATATCTAGCATACATCAAGAACTCAAAAATTAGACACCCCTCAAAGTAAAAGAGCCAATCAAAATGGGCAACTGAGAAGAACTTCTCAAAAGAAAAGTATGAATGCCCAATAAATACATGAAAAAATGCTCGACCTTGATGGCCATTGGAGAAATGCAAATTAAAACAACACTGAGATTCAGTCTTACTCCAGAAAGAATGGCCATCCCCAAGAGACCAAATATGAACAAATGCTGATGGGCTGTGGGGAGGAAGGAGCCCTTCTCCACTCTTGCTGGGAGTGTAAACTAATACAGTCCACTATGGAAATCAGTGTGGAGACTCCTCAAAAAGCTAAAGTGGAAATCCATTTGACCCAGCTGCTCCCCTTCTTGGTATCTTCCTGGAAGAATTAACATCATATTACGGGGATCCAGGCACACCTATGTTTACAGCAGCACAATCCCTAATAGCTAAGTCTTGGAAGTGGCCTGGAAGTCTATCAACAGATGAATGGATAAAGAAAATGTGGCATTTACACACGATGGAGTACTATTCTGTGGCAAAGAAGGATAACCTTGAGTCATCTGTAGGAAAACGGATGCACCTTGAGATCATAATGTTAAGTGAAATAAGTAAGACATACAAGCTTAGATGCTATTTGGTTTCTTTTATATGACAAAGCCAAAATATAACTGAAGAGAAAAATAAAGACAGATTCTAGGAAAGAGGGAAATAACTCTTTTGCAAAAGGGGAAATGGGCCAAGGGACGGAGGAAACAGGAGGGGAAGGGAAGTGGACGTAAAAAAATTCAGACGTGTTGTTTTGTCACAGCCTCCCTCCTTCACTCCTCCACATTTCACTTCCGTATCCGCATGCGCATGCGCTGTCTTCCCTCTGACCTCTGACCTGCTCTTCCCTGGTTTGAACCCGAAGACCTCCTCTCTAAGGGAAGCCTCTCCTGCGCTAGCGCCCCAGTGTCGTCTTCTGGGGCTGCACAGCGCCCTCTGCTGGACCGTCTCCCACGTAGCGAGAGGACCCCTAGGCGCCTGCGATGCTGGGCCTTTCCAGATCCAGCTCCAGGAAGTTCCGCCGGCACACCCAGCAGCCAGGCAGCATCCAGTCTGAGTGGCGCTCAGGAAGGTACATACATTTGCCTTTTTCTAAATCTGTTTATGGAAGCGTCCATTCAGGATGGTCAAAAACGGTTCAGCTTCTCGCAAGATTTATGTTCAACACCTACAGAATTTACATAGCAAAGAAAGTTTACCATGAACGTAGCATGTGGGTATTACTGAATTGTAAATTATTGCATGTGCTAGAAACAAATAAATTTGGCAAAATGCATCTTTTCAATAATAATGGAAGTTGCTGAAGAAATCAACATTTAAACTCTTCACGTTTTAAGGTATAAAGAGCTTCCTACAGTTCCTCCTCCAAAACATAAAACCAAAGAAGTTAAGACAGTGACCAAACAAGGAATATTTCAAAATTCTGACTTAGAGCCTTCAGACCTTGACTGGAAAAGCCTCCAGCTCTCACACTACTTGTTTCTGTCTTGGATTAGGTTCCCTGAATGCAGAGTCTAGGGTGAGTTTAGACGCAATGTATTAGGGACCAACTCTGGGAAAGAAAAGCAAAGAGAGGAGGATCAGGCAGAGAAAGGAGTCGAGCGCAGGCAGGCCCAAGAAAGCTTGTGCCACCTGGCAGGAATCTGGAGCAAGTAATGTCTCCAGTGTCCAGCGTCCAGTGTCGATGGCGACAATGGCCCGGTCTTCCTACCAGACCAGAAATGAGCTGCCCCCGGAAAGCATGGTGCTTCTTGGCAGCCAAGGCAGCCCGCAGCGATGTGGACACCCCCACAGTGCAGTCCATGCTTTCCCTCAGAGGGGGTCTCTGTGTCTCCCACATCTGTGCGCCCCTGCTTGGATAGAGCCCCAAGATAGCAGCAGGCTGTATTCCTGGTCTTGGTGGAACTATATCTAGATCACTCCAGCCAGATGGCTATACCTCCTATACTTAGAAATGCTATTTTAGAGTTTTAGATACATGAAA